TCCTCCTGAACGTCTCCCTGGCGCTGTTGTTCGGTAGCGGTATGCCCCTGCTGTACCTGGTGCTGGCGCTCTACCTGCTGGCGGCGGAGCTGGCGGACCGCTGGGCGCTCACTCGGCTGTGCCGGGGGGCGCCCCGGTACAACAAGGGGCTGGTGGAGCTGGTGATGGGTGAGGGGGGGGGAGGGGGGGAGGGGGCGTGTGTGTGTGTGGGAGGGCGGTTCCCCGGGGGTGTTGTACGATATAGATGGGGGGGAAGGGGGTAAAGGTGTCCCGGGTGCGGGGTTTTGCTCGTTCCGCGTCCGGCGTTCTATCCCACCCACCCATGTACCCGTGTGCGTGTGTGTATGTACACAGGTCCAAATCGCCGCCCCAACCCCCCCAATAACTTTCCTAACCCCCGTTGCGTTTCATGTCCCCCCCTTTTGTGCTGCTGCTGCCGCTGCCGTACAGCCCTGTTGCCCTGGATGGCAGTTGCACACTGCGCCTTCGGTCTGTGGATGCACACCTATTTCTCTGTGTCGTACAAGTACGACAGCATCATCCCGGAAGTGTCCCAGCTGAGTGCGGCCGTCAACCAGCTGGCGCTCAGCAGCCCGGCCTTGGCGGGCAGCTCCTCCGGCGGCTTTGAGGCGTCTCCCGAGCTGACCGGCGTGCGGGTGCTGATCCGCATGACTCAGGCTAACGGTCTGGCGCTGCTGCTGGTGATGGCTGTGGTGGTGCTGTGGCTGGTCGTTGGACGGTGAGGAAGTGTGCGTGTGTGTATGGGGTGTACGGGGCAGAGTGGTGTGTCAGCCTGACTCACCAACCTCATCTCCAACTCCAACACCCTGACGAGGACTGGATTCCTGTAAACCCCCCTCCCCCCTCCCCCCCCCCCTCCCCCCCACCCCTGGAACACTCTTGCCCTGGCAGCAGCTTCACTCGTTCGTGGTTCGTCTTTCCCCTCCCCTCCCGCTCCTGTCCCGTCTCTCTTCCTCTCCTCTCAATGTCTCGGGTCCCCCCCACCGCCCTCCGAGTGGCTAACGAGCGGACTCGAACCCCGCTGCCCCTATTCATGAAGCAGCAGTAGCAGCAACGGCAGCAGTAGCAGCAGTAGCAGTAGCAGTAGCAGCAGTAATGAAATTGTGGATTGTTACAGAGTGGGAGGCTTCTGGGCCACTTGAACACGTTGTCATTTCTACGATTTACCACACCATACAGCACCATCCACCATTACAACACACTGCTCTACGCCATACGAACTGGAAGTCCAAGGCGGTTGATCCTGCCTTCTAGGATCCCTCCTCATCCGTTCACCCGAACATCCGCAGAGACAGAGGGTTCAGCAATCACCACCAATCCAGCGTGCGAATCTTGATCCATCAACTGTGACCTCAATTCCACACCTCATCAGCTAGCCATAATCTCACGCTCCCACAATGTCGGGGGTCTCCCCAGGAATCGAACCCGGGACCTTAAACTGTATAAGACAGTGGTGTCAACCAGACCAGACCGTAGCAATAGTAGGCCTCAGCTCCCAGTTATTTTCCGGCCCCCACCCGGGCCCTCTCCTCCCCCCCGCCCCCCCCGTCCCGCAGGTATTCGTTATGGCGGCTGTTGTCCTGCGTGGGCCGTGTGGCGGCCGCCCAGCACTGCTGCACCCCCCGGGGCCAGGGGGGTTGCGGCCTCACGCGCTGTGGCGGGAAGCACGACGGTGACATGGAGCAAGCGGCTGTAAATACGGTGCCGTACGGGGAGGCTCTTGTTAAGGGGCAGCTGCACGGCGCCCCCACGTACCGCCTGGCGCACAACCCGCACTACCTGCAGTACTTTGCTGCATCCGGTCTGAACCGTTCCATGGGGGTGGCGGCCCTTGTGATGGCGGCGGCTAACGGCGGCACACAGCGGCGGAGTGTGTACACCCGCCTGGTGGGGCAGGGGCCTGGAAGGGGGGGAGGGGAGGGGAGAGGGTGTGTGTGCCACCAGGGGGGTTGGAGGGGAGGGGAGGGGAGGGGGTATGTAGTTCCGATACACCACACGGGGGTTGGGTTGGTTGCACCTTTCCCCCCGGAGGGGGGGCTATCGGATGTAGCCCAGGCCCGGTGGTTGTGGTGGTTGTGGTGCGCAAAGTCCTCCACTCCACACGCAACGTACCACCACCCACCTCCCCCGCCTGGACACCCCCTCGACATACATACAAACACACACACCAGAGCTACCCCGACCCCCCGACCCCCCTCAGCCTTATCACCCTCCCGGATATCACCTTGGGGAGGAGGGGCAGATGTGACTGCCTGTCCCTTGGGATCCCTTCCCCCTCACCTCCACCGGCCCCCCTTAACCCCTCTCTAACTCCCCTCCCCCTCCTTAACCCCTCCCTCCTCCCT